ATTAAGTTATTTAAAGCTAAAGTGAGAAATGAAAGAAAATTAATAATAATTAATTAGAAAATTATTAATTTAATAAACCTATAAATTAAATATAACACACATGACTAAATTAATATTTAAATAAGACTAAATATAAGTAATAATATAGATTAAGAATAGAATTAATTATAAATAAGATTAATTAATAAAATTACTTATTCATCTGATTTAGTAGTGATCAACAATTACTGTATCACATACTGCAACTGTGCCATATGTTGCACCATATTTACTGCATCACACGAATAAGTAATTGGTTATAATATTAACTTTTAGATTATATTTATTAATAAAATAAGTTATTAGTAATTTATATAACTTTTATTAAATATTTATAACTTTAATTTTACATAGATTTTAAATTATAATATTAAAATCTTCTTTACTTATAATCTCTTTAATTATAATTATAATAATAAATAGAATATATAATTTACTTACTTTATTAGCTATTAATTTCTTAATAATCTCAAATCACTTAATCTTATTATTATTATTAATTAAATATATATAATTCAATATTTTTTAAAATACTTAATTTTAATTATTTAAAAAACAATAATATATATTATCTTAATTTTTATATTGAATTTATCAGAATTATACTTATTTATTTTTTTTTATTTTTTTATAAGAATATCTTTTTTATATATATTTAATTTATTATATTTTGTAAAATAATAGATATAAATAATCTAAAAATTATTATTAATATACTTTTAACTATTATATTACATTTATATATTAAAAATAAGTGATCACAAGTTCTCACAGAATTTATTTTTTATAATCTTGAATAATATATCAATATTAAATAGCTTTATATATTTTTGATTAATTATTTATAATATAATTAAATAATAATATTAGAAAATTTAAATATAAAAATAATAAATATATTATAAAATAAGAATAAATATAAAGTAATAAAATAAGAAAGTTAGCAAACTGAACTAGAAAAAAAATAAATAAAAAATTATAGAAATATTAAATATATATATTAAATAAGTATATAATAAAAAAATAAAATGAAGAGTATATAATATTAAAAATAATAAATATATATAGAATTAATTTCTTATATATTTATTATTATAGCTTGTATTAAATATATATATTAAAAAAATAGAATAATAAATATATAATATTAAAAATAATAAGTTATTATAATACTTATAATTTATATTTAATATTAAAAATATATTCTTAATAATTTTAATTCTTCTTTTTCTTCTTCTTCTCTCTTAAAAAAGTAATATTATCTTGTAATAAATAATATTTATTAATATATTTATTATATTCTTGTAATAAACAAAATTTTTTTCTTTCATATATAAAATATATAAAATGATTTGCAAATTTCAGATCAAATTAATTCAGATCATATTTAAATTAACTTAATCTAAATTATATTATCTGACTTTAATATTTCTCTATAAAAGTTAATTAATTATTTAAATTTCTATTTATATATTATAATTATATAGATTATTAGAATTAGTATTATTCTTGAATTTTAAAAATTTTTGAGAGATATTATCATTTAATTTCTGAAAATTTTAAGATATAAATATTTATAATTATTATTATAATTATAATATAAATATTTTTCTTTTTCTTAAATAAGATATAAAATAAATATATAAAATCTAAGATCTTTATTGAATTTTTTCATTCTCAAAAATATCTATAACATCTTAACACCACATGATCGAAATTTCTATCCGGATTGGATCTTAATAACACGTGAACTACCCGGCTTTTAGTGGATCTCTTAATTCGGATTGTATTATTAGTTGAATGATCGTCATGCAGTTATTGATTTTTATTTGTCGTGTCGCGTCGACTGAATTTGCATTTTACTCATGTCGGAACATATCTTTTATAATGTTTCTCCCGCTAAAAGAAAGCACGAATACGTTAATGAAACTACTAACATTCTAACGGAGAACAATTCACCAAAAAGACAGTGTTCAGTTTATATCTCGGTTGAAGGAGAACTTAATAATACATTATCAATTAAGAAACCATCTCGTGTTGATTCTCACCTACTTCATTCTCTTTTCGAATTTTCAGATAATCTTTCTGATTTCGATGAAAGCCCTAAGGCCGAGTCACTCAATTCTCATGCAATATCAATGCAAGAGGCTAGAGACAATGAAAAACCTGTAAACCAAGTTCCTGATGCCCAGTTAGCCAATTCAAAACCAATACTTTTGAATAGTTCTGACAGAATTTTACGAGAATCTAACCGCTCTAAGGCCAATGAAAAGCAAGAAAATATTTCTGGAACTCAGTTGGCAGATAAAGGATCCCTATTATGCGGTACACCTGCAAAATCTTCAAAATTTGATGGTTTTTCCACAGCAAATGGAAAACCTGCAAAAAAAATTTCGGACGCACAACGAGCGTATGCAGAATCAATATTTTCAAGTAATTCTAATAGGATTATGCAAGAATTAAATAGTTGTACGCCTCTAGCAGATACAGAGTTGGTAGTATGCAATACTCTTATGGAGTCTCCAAAATTCAGTGGTTTCTTCTCCGGAAGTGGGAAACCTGTAACGAAAATTTCTGATGCTCAAAGAGCATATGCAGAATCAATATTTTCAAATAATATTTTGCAAGAATCAAATAGTTGTAACGCCAAAGAAAAACAAGATGAAAATATTACTAAAGATCAACTAGCAGACTCTGAATCTTTTTTCCGGAATAATCCTAGAAATTCTTCAAAATTTGGCGGTTTTTGCTCAGCAACTGGAAAACCTGCAAAGGAAATTTCTGAAATGCAACTCGCAAAAGCAAGAGCGCAATTTGAAGTAACGAAACTTTTTAATGATGAGAAACTTAATGGTACTCATCTGATACAGCAAAATTTTTAGCAATCAGCTTTATATGATCTTATGTAGATTTTTTTAATCTATTCGAGTTTTCTATAATATAGGAAATCTCAATACGCCAGCTTTTAATGAAACGTCAAGTAATCCTTCCAATGCAATTTCTGATTTGCCAAAAACAAGAAATATTAAGGATTCTGAATCTTCTACTAGACCATTAATGCTCAATACGCCAATCAAAACTCCTATTAGATCACAAACTAAACAATTGCAAACATCATCAATCAGTAATTCAAAAAAATCTTTCACTACTCCATACCAAATGAGGATTGGGAATTTTACTCCATTGCAAAGCAATAGAAAAATTCATAAAAATTCTTTGCAATTGAATACGCCGCCCTCGAGTGGTCTACGTAAGAATTTATATCCAATTTTACAAAATCGAGTTCACCATACGCCAACTCCCACGCCAATAAATACTAACAAGTCTCGTAATGAAAAACGGATTCTTTTTAACTTGAAGTGTGAGTTAATATTTATATTATTTCTGAATGTATTATTAACATATAGATATTGAGATATATTATCATGTAATTATCTTACTAATATTAAAACTGGCAGCATCTGGTTCCCGAGTGAGACTACGAGAAATTGTTACTCAACATCCGTTAAGCTATTCAGAGTCTACTTTATTGAAGCTTGGGATGTAAGCAAAGAGCTGAACTTTAATACAGAGATAATGACAAATTGTTAAATCATTTCTACAAACAATAGAAAATCGGAAATAATTCATATGACTTCTGAGAACGCCATAACTTATCGTTTTCAAATTTCGGAAAATAATGAATCTACTTGGGGATTTAAAGAAGCAAAAGATGAATTAATTCAATGTGGAGCAGATCCTGAATTGATTGATGAAACATGGGTAAAAAATCATTACGGTTGGATTTTATGGAAAATTGCAAGCATGATTCGATCATTCCCTGAAATATTTCAAGGTTGGTGGTGTCCAACTAAAGTTATTGAACACTTACGATACAGGTAATAATAACCTATAATTCAAGCAGATTTAATTTGTCCGGATATGTTACTGAAATTCTGTACATATATTAAAGATACGAAAAGGAAATCAACTGTGCACATAGGTCTGCTTTGAAATTAACAATCGAGAAAGATGGCTCTCCTTCCTGGCCAATGATTTTATGTGTATCTGATATTTACGAAGTTGTATCCTCAACGATATCTTCACAACTGCCACCTGGTATATAAATTTCAATTTAAAGATTATATGCGATTTGATTGCAAATGGTCATTTTGTTAAATATGTTTTTATTCTACAAGAAACGATAACCAATAGTGTGGTAAAGAATGGACTGGTCTTAACGGATTCGTGGTACAAGATTCGCGCTTCCATCGACCCACCATTACAACGGGCTATCAATTCCAAAAAATTGCGCATTGGCTGCAAAATAGAAATCTGCGGAGCCAAAGTAATATCATTATCTTAAAACTCGTAAAATTATACTTTATATTTTTTTAATCCAAATTTTTTTTAGCTTAAAGGAGGTGAAGATGCAAAGCCAGCGCTTGAAGTTGATGATTCTACACACCTTATATTATCAGCTAATTCTACTAGACTCGCGATGTGGGACGCGAAATTGGGCTACAGCAACAAGAAGCCAAGAATGTCTTTACGTTCTCTTGCCCCTGACGGGGGGTTTATTCCTGTTCTGGATGTAATCATTCTTCGCAAATATCCAATGTTATTTCGAGAAACTTTCAAAGATAATAAACCCGCCATTATACGCTCGGAGGCTGAGGAGGAGCTAGAAATAAGGAAGTATGAGGTAACGAATTTTTTATAGAATTTAATTATTTTTTTCAAATAATTGATTAAAACTTATTTCATCGCAAAAGGAAAAAATTGATAAAGAAATTCCGTATTTAATTTCTGAATATCAAAAATCAAATACTGTAAACAAAACTCATACTACCATAAATCTTAAAAGTATGAAATGTGTCTTTTTAAATTTTTTGCATTTTTTATTTTTTATTGATTTGCCATTCATGGTCAGGTATCGAAGAAAACCTATCGACAGCAGAAATTTATGAATTATTACAAGAAGAAGTGGAACCTTCTAGGATTTGGAATACTCTAAGTGCTCGACAATCACAATCCCTTCAAGATTTCATTTTGTCGAAGGAACAAGAAAAATCCGAAGAGATGAGAAAGTGGATTTTGGAGAAGCTTGAAGTACAATTCCTATTTAATAATATATTAATCTTTAGATAATATAAGAATAATTTAGTATTCATTTTACAGGAAAAAGATTTTCATCGTAATGTGGTGCATTTCTTTAAAGTAAGCATTTGCGATTATCCAATTTTCTCGAAGTCCGATGAGAGGTTGGCAACTTTGACGATATGGAAGCCTGATGATGCCATGTTTAATAGGATTCAGGAGGGCCGACGATATTTGGTAAATATTATAGTTTAAACATTCTCATCTCTATTTTTATTCAATTACTTATTTATTACAGATATATAATGTTACGACGCCGAATTCCCAAAGATATCCGCTATATCTCGAAACCCATATACGATTGAATTCAATGGGACACTCAACAGCATTTAAGGAAGTAGCGTTGGATCCGAAAAAGTTAGAAGTATCAAGATATAAACCAAGAAGTATTACGCCTTGTAGCGAACTTTGGAAAGCACAAAATTATGATGAATTTGATCTCGTTGTTTGCATTTTAGGTAAACTTGAATTTATCTGCAATATAATTTTCTAAACTTACATTAACCAAGTTTATTTTTAGGGGCTTGGGAACCTAAATTAAGTGTACAAGCTGACGGCAAAGAAGTTCAAGTGCAAGCAATAATGGTAACTGATGCTAGCGAACAATTAACACTTATCGAAATAAACATTTTTTCTCGAGCAATCATCTTCAAGGTAAGTTATTATCAATCGCTTTCAGGATATTAGCTTTATTAAGAAATGTGATATTACTAAATATTTGTTTTTCCAGCCAAAAACTATTATCTTCCTAAAGAATTTAAGTTATCGTAAATGCGAATATCAATTTGGAATTCATTTTCTCTCCACCACTAATGAAACTCAAATCAAAATTTCTCCTCATGAGAATTATGCGAAATTTGCTATTAAAGATTTGTACACGTGGGTTCAAAAAAATATGCGGATATTTGAGAATTTGCGTTCAACTGCAGAGGATATTGGTGGTCCTGTATTGGACGCAATCTATTACAGATAAACCTCCCATTTAGGGAGGGCGTGCGTTTATAGAAAGTAAATCAATTAAAGGTCATAAGCTTGGGACTGAGTCGTTTGATCTAAAGATTTGGGATTATGTAGATCATATGCCGATACGAATTCAAATAAAATAATGATCCAAGTTGGTTGTATGTGCTACAATCATTGCAGATTTCAAAATGACTACCTTTAATAAATCTTTTGATGACTTAGACCAACAACGAGAACTCGCCTTTATGCAGGTGAAACCAATAGCTATACTACACACTACTTCTCATTTCTAAAACTAATCAAAAACATCCGGTTACCATCAATTGCTGTTGACTGATAGCTTAGGCCAATATGCGTCTCACTTCTGAATTACCCACCTTTGACACGCATGAACTCGCAACAAGTCTTGCAAACCTTAGATGAACTCATCCAAACACTTTACTCTCTCCCTGCACCCTCACGCTTTTTAAATGCCTCGCTTGTCGAATACATTTTCTTTCCGTTAGCACATGTGTTTCAAAGTGCTGAATTACCAAGGAGTGATAAATTCACGGAAAAGTTTTTGTCTTGTCTTTTGTTCTTGCTAGAGACTTCTTGGTCCAATTATATGAGACCTGAGTTATTTAAACAGATTTTTATCATGTTGACGAGTATTATGGGGACATCCTCGGAATCATCATCTAACAAGTCTTATTTGGTGTCTTTGATATCTGAAGAAACAAATCTTTTAGCAATTAAATGTATTTTGACTTTATTGGGCAGAGATAATCAAGATTCTCCTAGCAATAACATCGTTTTAAGAGCTGAATTGATCGAAGTGCTTTTGGAACCTTCTCATCGTGCTGCTATTGGACGTTGTGTATATGTGTTACTGGAAATTATTTTCAAAGAACGTTTGCTCGAATTAAGAATTTCAGCAATTGACGCTTTTGAAAGACTTGTGCAATGCCTTGAAGATGCAAATGTTTTGGCTGCTATATTACCTGGCGTTGTAAGCACATTGGGAAAAACCATAGTTCATGATCAAAAAGAAAATCATCGCTTACTCGCAAGATCAATTGAAGCATTAGGGGAAATTATTTATCGTGTGATGAATGATGAAGTAAATTCTCATATTATGACACGACATAAAACTTTAAATGAGTTGGTGGAAGAATTCACAGAAACATCCGACATCAATGCAAAAAAATCACCAAAAATTAATCAGTCATCAAAAGATATTTCCGATGAAAATAGTAATACTATTCCTTCGGCAGCGGTAGAAGTTTTACGAAGCAAATCATGGCTTAGAGCTACAAAATCACAGATCAACATTTTACTTTGTCAAATATTTACCATAAGAAACCATCCATCATGGCAAGTACGATTGGCATTTGTGAATTTCTCTAATTTGATAATTTGTCAATGCTCAGAATCCTTGGATAACTGTTTGCCAATGTTGATAGAAACTTTGGTGCTATATTTAACCGATGAATATGCACAAGTTTCGAGTTCGTCGCTTCAATATTTAGAATCTTTACGGGAAAATCATCACAATTTCGACGAGATATTTGTACCAATTATGAAGGAAAGTTTTGATAATTGGCTTAATTTATTACCACAATATATTATGGGAATTGATGAAAATGCAAAGTTCAATGTAGTTGCGTTAGTGACTGGTTTTCTATCAATTCTTGGTTTGCATGTGCAAAATGTGTTCAATACTTCATTACAGCGTGTTTCCCATGGATTGATTAAGGCAATGGAATATGATTTAACAGATATTCAAATTTTAGAAGAGAAAATTGTTGACATTGATAATATTGATTCGTCGAAAAGACAACAACAATTACCAGCTTTTCCCCAGCCTAAGTTTAGTTATATTCGAGAAAAACGTGTCGTATCTGCCATACGAAATATGTTGAGATGCTTTGGTTATTTTGGGAATTTAAGCTTCTTGGTCAATCATTTCTTTTTTTATTTCCAAAATTTAAGGAAAGTTCAACTTTGCCCGCAATGTGTGTTCATAGTTAATGAATTATTAATTGGTGCGTCATCGGGTACCAAGGTTGATTCAAAAATATCGTCGCAATTCGCCTCATTAATTGTTAAACAAGTAAATATTTCCAACTCTGCAAATTCTTTGGAAGACATACAAAGAATCTCGAAATTTCTTTTAAGAGAATACACTGAATTAGATTTAACACGCGACAAGGAAGACGAAAACCGTAACCTAAACACTAATTCAACGATCATTGAACCGAATTTTCTTATCCGTGCTGATCAACAAGTGGACAAGAAACTGGAATACAAAGAAAACTTCAATATTCTTATTACAAACTGTTTAATTCTCGAAGGGATTGCAAATATTGCAAATATTTTACGGAGAAAATTCCGAGTTGAACTAATTTACGCACTTTATCCGATCCTAGAAAAATATAACAGAGAGAATAGTCATATTATGGTTCATGAGGTTGCTCGAATTGCTTTATATCATATTGCAATTAATTGTGGTTACAATTCTTCTAAAGATTTAGTATTGGAAAATGTTGATTATCTCATCAATGCTATATCTCGAAAGTTGAATCGAATCAAATTCCATCCGGAAACTACTAAAGTTCTGATTGCAATGATTAATGTTGTCGGCTCAAATATTCTACCATTTCTTACCGATTCTATTGAAGAGATTTTTGACGCTATCGATCAGTATCATATGAACGAAGTTTTGTTGAGTCAATTGGCCAACGTCCTTTATGTATTGATCAAAGTCATCGCAGACGATTACAATGAAAAAAATGGGGGAGAATCTGATGAGAAGCAACAATCAGTTAATAATAACATAACCGCAGGATCATCAACAAGCAAAATAAAAGATTTCCATTCTGATGAGGACATTGTTGGAATTTCTCGGGAAATCAATGAATTTGTTGCAAATTATTCCAAGAAAGAAAATAAAATCCAATCAACGAAAGAGAATTCACACTTTGATGAGATGACTGCGGCTGCAAAGTTGGATGAAATCGGAAGTTATTTTACGGAACATCGACGTAAAAAAGAATCAGAGGGGGAATCAGAAATTTATGATTCATTGCCAAATGATAGTGACAATATTCAAAATCTCGAGAGCACTGCTGATACTAATAAAGAAAATAAACCTTCAATGGCACAAACGATTTGCCTAAATATTATTAATAAACTTTTGCATTTCCTTACTGCGTCATCGCCGCAGCTTCGTAAATTAATACTTGATCTAATTCGGGTTTCATTGCCTGTACTCGAATCAAACACACAACAATTATATCCACTCATTCATCAAATTTGGCCTTCAATTATTAATCGTATGAAAGATAAAGAACATTATGTGATATTAGCAGCTGTTGAATTAATCGAAAACATTTCATTGTTTTGTGGCGATTTCATTTCGAATCGAGTGATGGTCGACGCTTGGCCTTTATTTCAGCATATATTAAACCAACAACTTCAAATGGACAAAGAATCTGCAATCTCTTATTCAACATATTCAAAATCTCATCGATTCAAATTATCCATTATAATCACTTTAAGAATGGTGATTAAGCGAGTGTTATTGTCAGATTTTGTGCTATTCCAAATAATGGACACAATGTTTGTCTTTTTGAGTGATAAAGTTCATTCAGAACTCAAGGGTGCATCGCAAGGATTATTTATCGAGTTGATTAGAAAGTCTCCTGATGCTGTTTGGCTCGTATTGAATGGGATGTTGCAAAAGGAAAGAAAGGTTCAAGAATGTCCAGCAATCTTCAAACGAGTAGTTTGGCCAGATTATTATCATGTTTCTACGAAGCAGGTTGATGAATATGTCTCCAGTATAAATTTATTATTGGAAAAAATTGATTCAATTGAATAAAAATTTACAAGTAAACACATCGATATATATAGATAAAGATGACTTATCATGCCATTGTGTGCATGATCAAAATAAAAATATTGAGACAAACAATGTATGAGGCTTATTTCAACATCCAACCTTCGTAACTACCGTATATATCGAGTATTGCATTTAGCACGCCCGAATAGGCACTTGCCCCAACTACATTCTGCGCCATTAATGATTAACCCGAAAAAATAAGGAACGAGTGAAATTTTTTTTATCCCTTATATAAAATGATTGGCGTACACAAAACACATATTTCAAATTTCTGAAACGGAACAAATTTTTCTGTTCTGTTCAGAATAGTCTATCCAATTAAATCATCAAAATATTCGGAACAGATCAGACCAGAACAGGCTATTGTCTAACCAACAAAGCAATACTAATTGCCCTTTTCTCCATACAAAATCTACTCACTGTGTTAAGTGCTTTCAGCGCTTGCGAGTGTAGCCTCTTTTACTACACGGGATTCGTCTATAAAGTTCGTAATCTTTTTAATAAATAGAGCGTTTTTTGTTGGGATTTTTCACTTAATAAGAGAAATGCTCCGACCTCGAAGAATAAAAGGCATGTTGCCACCAAAACTCGTGAGCATAAATTGGTCGCACATTTTTATAGTCTCGACGGCAATTGTGTCTTGGCAGTTCACATGTTTGGTTAAAGCAAATGATGAATATGACAATGTTTTTACTGAAGACGACGAAAAATCCAGTTCTTGGAGCATTGTTCTTGCTGGATCTCTTGCTGCATTCATTATAATATTAATGTTGATGTTATGGACGTGCTTCCGCCGGCGATTGGCTGCTGTTGACAAAAACAGAATTCCCGACGTTAATGATCCGGAAATTGCGAGAGCTGAAGCAGGTCTTGTCGAGACTCTTGGCGAGGCTGCTCGACAGAATTATGAACGTGCTCGATGTAAGATAAAAAAAAATTTTTCAAATTGTTTAATATTTTATATCTAATTTACTTTGTACATTAAATAGTATTTCAAGAAGCATATCCACCAGATAGTATTCCAACGGATATTACGCTATCACAATTTCTTTCTATTCAGGAAAAGGGAGTTTCTGCGTGGGAATTTGAACCTGATCTACATCACACTAGTTGTTTTGTCGAATGCCGCACGGAAATTGCATTTTATGATGGAGAATGTTGTGTACAGACCAATTTGCCATTACCAAAACAACAAGAAGTTTATTATTGGGAAGCAAAAATGTATGAAAAACCAGCATCGACCACTGTTGCTGTTGGATTGGCAACCAAACCATATCCTCTATTTCGTTTACCAGGTATTTTTAATTAATTAGTTATTATTTTGTTTGATAAATTCTAAAGAATATTAAATTACATCTAGTTGTGATTTTTTAATCTTTTTAGGATGGAATCGTCATTCAGTATCATATTTCTCTGATACTGGACTGAAATATCATAATTCACCGTTCAATGGAAAAACATATGGACCACAATTTCAACAGGGAGATGTCGTAGGAGTGGGATATCGTCCGCGTACAGGCACCATCTTTTTCACCCGTAATGGAAAAAAACTAGATGACGCATTCACAGGAATGAAGATGAATTTATTTCCAACGGTCGGTGCAAATGGGCCGTGTTGTGTTCATGTTAATTTTGGCCAATTAGGATTTGTATTCATCGAAGCAAACGTGAAAAAATGGGGACTTGCGCCTACAATGGGAACTTTAGCACCGCCGCCTGCGTATGGATCGGAAAGGGGCTCACTACTTCTCGAATCAAGTTCAAGAGGACGCCCTTCAGAAGATATACCTTCACGTATTTCATATACACATTCTGGGGATGGCGGTTTTATGGGTGGAGCACCACAAGAAGCTAATTTGGACATTTCATTGGCTGATATCACTCTTCCACCACCATCTTATTCCTCTGTGGATCGTCACTTTGAACGACAATCTGTATCATCGGAAACTTATTTATTGTCAGAAGAACAAAATGACTCTCGGAGAAATAGTTATGAAATAACTACCAGACAGGATCAACAAAGGGATGGATAAGAAATTATTATATTTGAAAGGCTATATTTTTAAAGGATACCAAATTAATTTATCAACACATATGGAAATACTTCGGACGATTACCATACTTTCTTAATAGTACTTAACATATGGCTTCTAAACGAAATGCTTAGCAACCGAGTGTCAGATAGATCGAATGGTTTACTGTAATAGCATTTATCCTTTTTTTTTCATATAGATATATTTCTATATATCTAATCTTGGATCTGATATTCATTTTGGTTTTTTCCATTTATTGTAATTTTGTATATATTATTTTTTTTCCTGGGTTAATTTTCCACCCGCAGGGTATCATGATGATTATCGGTTGAATGACAAAAGTTGTTCGACAGGCAAGTAGCATTCATATATAAAGATCAACTTATCAATTTCAAAGATGATAATTAATCACCGGAGACTTGTATATTATATGGCATTGTCAAGTTTTTTTGTATATCTGAATCTTTTATTGATTTCACTTTTTGAATAATAACAGTAAGAGTAGTACAATAAATAACGCTACATATAAAGTTGTATTTATAATTTGTTATTTTCTCGTCTAATTTGTAACTTTAACACCACGCCAAAATGCAATGTACCCTGCAATATTTTGAGCAGCAGGTTTTGGATTGGGATAATACCTATTAATTAATAATTGCAGATTAGACATTGAGGAATGCAAATTTGCTTATCTATAAGAATGCTTACCATGCAGCGTTAGTGTTAGTTTTACCTAAAAAAAAATAAATAATTGAATTAACTAACGCCTTAATATTGTTTGTAAGCAAGTGATTATGAAAGATACCATTGACTGAAAGTGTATAATAGGAAGCCTGCCCTTTCCAAGAACAAGTTGTAGTGTGAGGGCTTTCTACAAAGTACTCTCGTTTAATGCTTTCTGGCGGAAACTAAATTCACATCGAATATAGCATATTCCCGTATTAAGTGGTATGATATGAATAAAATATAACTATTAATAAATAACCTACATAAATATTTCCTTCTACTGTCTCATATACGTCACTTTCCGCAATAACTAAAGGAAACAGGAAAACATTAATTAAATTAATAAAAAAAATTATGATAGACACTTGTTACCTTCACCATTCCACTCCGCACGAGGCATTTTTTTTATGTTAATTTAGTTCAAATGTTTTCAATCTTATCGAATAAAACTGTGGTTAACCAAAAAACGATCAATGAACCATTGTATTCAATTAATTTGGCGCTATGAATAGCAATTAAATTAAAACGATCACTTAAAAGTTTAGCCTGAATATTCTAATTATTTTCTCTAAAAATTCAAAATTTAATATCGTTTTTTGGTGTGTTGAGTTTATTAACATTGGAATGATTGTTGATGTATATCTTGAAGAATGGTGATTTCCCATTATTGACTCTAACTACTAAAAATATTAATTTGATAAAAATTTCCAACACTAAGTATTACATAGTATTATAATAAAAAAACTAATGCTGTTAAATATTAATGGTTGTTTAGGATTATCATCATCTTCGCGTCCAGACCAGGTAGGTATATAATTTATGCATGTATGTATTTATATTTACCTGTATGATTTAAAAGTATGTCTAAGTGTCGCCATTTTCTTTGGCAATTATCTTTTTTGGTTCGGAATCTTTTTCGTCTTTATCTTTCGTCGGAATATCTTTTCCTGCTAACTCCTTAGCTTTTTTTTCTTCCCGTTCTTTCTCTTCCCGTTCTTTCTCTTTTTGTCTTCTTCGTTCCTCAACACGCCTTAGTGCCTCATCTGTATCTATAGGCTTAGCTTCCCCAAAAGGATTTGGTTTATTGGCTCGGGGTGCCGAAACTGAATGATTTTCAGGTGATTGAGGTGGTTGTGCATGCAACGTCTCGCCAACTGTAGGAGTAGTAGGAGCAGTCCGAGGTTTCAAATCGAGTTTTTTACGAAGGGGTGAGGAAGGTGGTGAAATATTGGCTGGTGCTACTGATCCTAAGAAAAGTATTTGTATTTTAACGAATTATTGATGCTGTCATAAATAAGATAAATAATGTATCATACCGAATCGTTCCTCAGATCGACGTTCACGAAAACTACTTGATCTACTACTAAAGGCGCCGCCTCTCCATTCTGTATCGCTTCTACTGCGATCTGTTCTTTCCATACTACGCTCGCCACGATCACGAAATCCTCCACGTTCAGAAAAATCACTACGAGGGCTAACTTCAGCATGCTCACTACGAGGACTACGATCATTGCGAATACTTCGCTCGTGTGATTCACGAGGTTCACGTGGTTCATTACGTGCACCCCACCGTCCTTCACGATGACCATATTTATCATTACCGAAACGGTCACTTCTATGGGACGGTGAAGGCAATTCTCGCGGAGCTCGACGCCATTCACCTGCTGTTCGGTCTTCTTGAGGATGCTCCCGTGCTGTTTTCGTATTATTATCACATAAATATAGACAATATAAGATATAATTAATAATGGAAAATTTTATTATTTACGTGGCTCAGCTACACTGATTCTTATAGGCCGGTTACGAAGGGGCTATATTTTTATAAGAATATAGATAAAAAAGATCAAAAGATTAAAACGTAAATTACATTATTTTTGATGGATGTTAAAAAATCTGAGTCCCTTTAATTCCTTACCTGTCCAGTTAACTCTAATGCTTTTTTAAGAGAGGTTAAATCTTCAAATTCAACGTATCCAAATCCCTTAGGCTTTTCATCTCTATCGCGAAGAATTCTTATATTGGCAATCTATTGGAAATAACAAAATTCGGGATTTCAAATTTTGCTATAATTTTAAGACGAAAATAATTCGTCTTGCCAACCTTTGAATCTTGAAAAAAATCTTCAACGTCATTTTCAGTTAAATCAAAAGGAAGATTGCCAAGATGCGCAGTAAACGGAGGAGATGTAGGAAGTGGTTGTGGAGTGCGTTCAGCGCGACTAGGAAACCTAGAATCACGTGGTGAGTCACGGCTTTCATAGCGAGAATCTATAATTGTAATAGTTTCTAATTAATTAAATCGATAACTATAATAAAAATAATAATTCAATTGATTTGACTACCTCTGGAATAACTTCGGTTAAATCCTCCCCTACTACGGTCACCAAAACCGCCGCCATGGCCACCTTCATGTTCCCCTAAATTTCAAGAGCATAATATATGATTAGCTGAAAAATAATTTTTTTTTAAAAAAACATTTTAAACTGAGTACCTGAATAGGCGGCAGCAGCTATCCAAAAAATAAAAAAATTTTAAGTACTGAATGAATATAGTTTTAAATCAAACAAAGAAAAACTCACGCGCAGAGGGCAGATCTTCCATTTCATCAGCCCAAGAGCCCGTTGCTGGTTGATACCCGAAACATATTTGAAGATTTCCAGATTACCACTGATAAATATCACTAGAAAAGAGTAAAGGAGCACCAAGCACCTAGTGTCTACATACACTGATCGGCCAAGAAGTCTGTCAAGGACATTTTTGTCCCTTTCCTTTTGGCCGCTTTTTGATCGAAGTGTGCATATTTAAAAAGTTAAAAAATAAATTCCATGAAAAAATGACCGGATCAAGTGCGAAAGCAAAAAATTACTCACCCATTTTCCAAAAGGTATTTTAAAAATTACTTAACGAATCGAAGGTTCACGAACGAATCCAAGGCAAAATCTCCAAAAGAAGGTTTTTTGTGTAAACAAGAGCCGCTAGACGGCCAAAGGAAACCATCAAGCTGCACATTTGGCTGCAAAATAATGATGGTGCCTTTCTATTGGTTGACTACTTGATGATGTCGATTTTGATATAATTCTACATCCTTATTACCTACTTTTAACCTCATTATAATCATAATCTAATGCCTATTACATTATATCTTTGATTATATTAGTCTCTCCTACCCATAATTCATAATATCTTTATTATATCTTATCTTGGCCAAATATTATATATAAAGCTATTAACCTACCATGAAATATTAGAATATTATAATCAAGATTACTAAAGATTTATTAATAAAAACATAAAATAAATAGTTAAAATATATAAATTAACATAAAAAATATAAAGAATTTTCTATTGAAGATCAAGTTTTTTTTGTTACTTATAATATTAATAATTTGGTTGATAAATAAAGGATAATCTAGAAATTCATATCAAAATATATTAAATCTTTTGAGATTATTAATAAAATATTTTCTATTACTTATAAATTACAACTACTAACTAATATAAAATTATTTAATATTTCATATCTTACTATTAAAGAAATATAATTCAAATAATAAATTTAATAAATATATATCATTACTAGTTATTATCATCTTAGATAATAAAGTTAAAAATATTCTTGATAAAAGAATTTATTATTATAAATTTCAATATCTCTCTTAGAAACTTAAAAAAGATTATAAAGAAGATAAAAGTCTTTGAAAACTTATATATTTAAATATAATGAAAATATTATACTTTAAGTAGAGAAATATATAATAATTTTGATTAAATTATATTTATTTTAGTTTAAATCTTTATTATATATTATTTATATTATATTTTATCTTTAAATTACTTATTTTAAAGATCAATTTTACTTTGAATATATAAATTATATATTTAATTAATTTAGATTAATATATATTATCATATAGATAATTATTATAATTTTCTAATTATTAATTTAGATAATTATTAATTTTATCATTAAATTATTTTTTATATTTTTTACTTATTCTTTTTTATATTATTTATAATTATTATTAATTTATTAGATTATAATTTATTACTCTTTAGAGATATAAATTTTTTATAAATATATCATTTTTATTTTATAATTTTATTTTAAATTTAAATATTATTCAAATAATAAAATTATAAGTCTTTATATTTTATCTTGTTATAATTATAAATAAATAATCTTATAATTTTAAAAGATTATAAATATATTCTTTTTATATTAAAATTAATATTATTAATATTTTTAATTTAATATTAATTTTATAATTTATTCTAATATATTTAATTTTTTTGATATTTTTTAAGTTTATGATTTATTATTTTAAAATTTTTATTTTAATTATAATTTTATTATTATTTACTATTTTATTTAATAATAATTTAAAGTTACTATTCATGTTTATAAATTTCTGATATAATTATTTTAAATATTTATAATATTAATTTATATAATTTTTATATACTATTATAATATTTATTATATAATTTTATTAAATATAATATTTTTATTATTTAATACATAGTTTTTTTAATATTAATTCTAAGTAAATTATTATTTTATTATTAATATATTATATAATTATTATCAATTTTCTCTAAATAATATTACTTCTTTCAAAAAAATCTTTTTTTTAAATATTTTATTCTAATAATAATAATATTATTAATAATATTAATAATAAGATTAATAATAAATCTTCTTTTAAATATAATTATTTTAATATTATTAAATAAATCAAAATCTAAATAAATAAAAAAATTACTAGCTAGTTCTATTTTAAAAAATTCTGATATAACTTTTAAAATTATCTTATTATAATTATTATTTTCTAATTCAAATAATAATACTAATATATTATTTATATTATTTTTATTAATATATATATTAATAATTAATTTATCAATATTTATATTTACTTATCTTATATCTCTACATATATTTCAGAATATAAATTATCTTATAATAAATACAAATAATAATAATTTCTAAATTACAATTATAGTTAGAAAATATTTCTATATTTTTTATCTTTTTACTAATATTTTTGCTATAACTTTATTTTTTTCTTACTTTCTTTATTATTTTTATATAAAATTCTTTTCTACTAATATATATAATATTATTTTTTTCTTTTTTTATAATTTAAAAGTTTTTTTTGCTTTATTATAAGTAATCAAATCAAAATTTACTTTATTTAAAATTATTATTTATAATATTTTTCTTA